TTAGGTCTCTTCTTTATTGTGTTTGTTGGGGTGGTCGCTCGTTACTCGGATAATAGTCCTTCCTTATGACACCCACAAAGGCTTTTTTTTTTTGGGGGGGGGAGGGGTGCGCAAAATTTTCAGACAATCTGGTTGAGGCTCACATGCAGGTCTAATCTATTGTCCTTATCTCCCCTCCTCTTTTGTGTTTGTTCCTCTCTTGTTACTTGTAACAGTAACTCCACTAACCTCCGGCACTTTTACGACTATGTGTTGCAAGTGCCATAAAACTCCTACTAAAACTAAAGCTACAGATGGTTGCTAGAGGACGCCAGTGATATATCAGACAAATTTCTTTTTACTCCAGAATGTTGTGTACCAATTTGAAACGCAAAACTTCGGTGTGGGGGGAAATATTTATTTTTAAGTTTAGTTTGTCTGTGTTTTTTGGGGGATCACCTTGTAGTATTATATTGCTAGCTGGGCCCCCTTTTGATGAAAGGAATGGTCGGTGCATTAACGTCAACTGAAAGTCATTGGCATACTATATTTACACTCTACTGGAATGGAGCAATAAATCTTGAGAGAAAAGTGACACATGTGTTTCCAAGTTGCCAAATATATAATAGATGTATAGATTGATACTCTATTCCGCTTTCGTGGTCGCTCACTCCATAATTTCAAAAGTGTGGGACCAATGTGCTCTGCTTGTGAAGGGAAATCTCTCTCGTTGACAATGGCATCCTAGTAGACGGACTTTCCCAAGATTAGAACTCTGTGAGGACGAAACAAAGAATTTTGGAATAATCGGGGAAAGCAGTTTTCGTGGATTTTTTAAAGTTAGGTCCTAGCCACATGGATGCTGTGGACGCCTGCAAAGTTTCAAAGGTGTGGGTTCGGTAATAAGGGAGGAGTTTGCGCACAAAGCCTTCCAAGTCCACTAAGGCCAAGCACATAATACATTTCTGAAATATTATCAACATGGTGAAGTTGCCTTTCATTTTTAAAATTACCTGTCACGGGCGTTCCGTTCACTCAGCTGGTATCATGCTGGGCTGCGGAGCAGATGGCTGCGGTTCAAATCCCTGAATTGATATGATTGATCCTGAGTTGTTTTGTGGAGTTTTCAAGGCTCTCAACCTATGTAGCTCCGGGACTGCCCTCTCAGTCGACGCTCCAAGTCCCCATCGTTAGCTCAGTTGGTGCATCATGCTTCATTATAATAGAACGTATAATCAAGGACTACTATACTCAGTATAGTAGTCCTTGCGTATAATATATACTGTTGATTCTGTGCTATGGTGCAGGCGACACTTGGAGCGGTTTTTTATCTTTGATTATGTGGAGGGAGCTTTCAAGACTGTCCATCTTCTTTGTTTGGTCCTGTCCTGTCCTGTGAACCTTCAGTTCGGCGGTCCTGTCTTTTAAAGTAGGCTAAATAATTAGAGATAATCTTACAATGTTGAAAGTCAAAATTTTGTTGAAACCTTTTGAGGGTGGTTGGCGGGTGCTCTGCTGTAGTTTGTTCCTTCTTTCCCATCAAACGTCTATTGTCCTTATCTCTCCTCCTTCTTTCCCATCAAACGTCTATTGTCCTTATCTCTCCTCCTTCTTTCCCATCAAACGTCTATCGTCCGTATCTCTCCCATCAAACATCTATCGTCCGTAGCTCTCCCATCAAACATCTATCGTCCGTAGCTCTCCCATCAAACATCTATCGTCCGTAGCTCTCCCATCAAACATCTATCGTCCGTATCTCTCTTCCTTCGTTTTTGTCCTTGTTATTTTCTTGTAATAACATTTTGATCTTCGGTGTGTCTATGTGACATAATTGTGCTGCAGAACTCTTAATACAAAGACATGAAACCTTGCAAGTTCTATAGCACGTTTTAAATTAGTTTCAGTAACAGTTTAGAGATTGTTACATAAGAGTCACAAACACACAACAATGAAAAAAAAAGCAGGAATAGAGAGATAAGGACGTTAGATAGACGTTTGACAGGAAAGAAGAAGCAAACGACGTAGTCTACATTATTTACCCGTCCCCGTAGGATTATGCGATTGTGCGGCCGCGTTTTTTCGCGTAATTCTGCAACATTTGCATAATTTTGAATTCTCCGCCTTTTTTCACCCCCCCCCCCCCCCCCATTTATTTCACCAAACAATGAATGAATGAACGCCTCGCCGTGTGACTCAAGGGACGTGGTCACAGTAATAACTTTCATTTAAGTGAAAACTTGGTTATTTCCCTTGTTAGAAGATCTTGGTTATGGGTTTTGATTTTTTTCCTTGAGCATGTTCAATTTTACAATCCATCAAAAGTTGTTCTCATGTCTGCTGATGTTTCATGTTTGACAGGTGTCCCTGGTTTTAGTAATGTGTCAGCATCAGAGGTCCAGATGTCCTTTTTTTAAAAACACTTTTCTTTCCTCTCTATAGATCTCTAGATCTACAGCTGAAAGTTACAGAGATTATATTTTTTGGTTGTTTTTTTAAAATAATTTTTAAACTGATGTGTATTGTTTTCTTTTCCAAATACACAACAAATTACAGATACTGATATGTTCTGTTTTCAATTCTTCTGTACATAAAATATGAAAATCTGGAAACTTCGTGTTGAAAAAGTGCAAAACATGTCGCGAATAGTGTTACGGTAACTTGCTTAATTTTTGCATAATTTTGCTTGTTTTGGCGCATAATTTGGCCTTCTAAATTTGCATAATTCTACGGGGACAGTCTTGTGATACCACTCTGATCTTCCGTGTGTCTTGTGTCTATGTGACCTAATTGTGCTGCAGAACTCTTCATACAAAAACAAAGAACCTTGCAAGTACAATAGCACTTTTTAAATTAGTTTTCGTAACATTTTACAGCACTTGTGACACAACAAACATTAGAGGCGTTACGAAAGAGGAACAAACACAAACACAAAAAATGGAAAAAAAGCAGGAATAGAGAGATAAGGACGTTAGATAGACGTTTGACAGGAAAGAAGAAGCAAATGACATAGTCTACATTATTTACTCAGTTATACTGAAATATTAGATCAGAATATCAGAATATCTAACTTAAAAAATTAAAATCAAAACTTAATCAAAGAAAGAAACGAACAAGGAGTAATGAAACATTAAATCTGGAATTTAATGATTTGTTGACATCATAGAAAACACACCCATGAGCGTGGTGGCTTCTCACAAGGCGTAGAGCAAAGAAACTATACACAACATAGATTATAGCTCAGCTCTGCACGACTCAAAGTGAAAGCGGAACAGTGGGGCGAAAATACTAGTTACATAATCTCCCACAAAGGCTTGGACTTGGACAACCCGACAGTATCAAGCGCACGTTCACAAATTTGGGAAGTTTTTTTTTCACATTTTGATTAATTAATGTACAAACATACAGCAGCCTGCGTTACATCAGTAGCTTGAAAAGTAAAAGAAAAGTAACGAAAAGAAAGAACTACGAATACAATGTACAACCCAAGACTGGTACACCTAACTAGGCTATTAATTATTATATTTTTCGGGGGTTTTTTGGGTTTTTTAAAAATAAAGGCCTGATAGGATTTTTACAGGAACATAATTCACTCATTAGTTCTGGCAGTGACGGGTTGAGGGGAAAAAATAATTAATAATAACAGTAACGGAAAAACGTCGTCCAGAAGGCTCTTGATTGTAATAAGCCTTTCAAGAAAGTACAAGCTTGCCTCTGGAAAAGATTTAATTGCGAATGAATTTGTTCAAAACTAGCTACAATCCACCCCCATGTGCAACATAATAGGCTATATGTAATACCGTAGCAGATTTTTAAAACACGTGTGTAATGTATTATAAGGGCACATTCGTAAGATCAAGCTAAGCACCCCCACCCGTTGTGGTACATGTATCAAGGATTGATTGATCAAGCTAAGCTAAGCACCCCCACCCGTTGTGGTACATGTATCAAGGATTGATTGATCCATCGGCTAGAGGCATCCTATTTAAAGCAAACAACACTCATTAATACAAATGAAAAAGAAGGGAAGGGGCTTTACGTTTTGACAACATGACCATAACAAAACAGTGCATGTAACGTAGCGATACACTTGGCGTGTGGGAAAATGTACAAACTTTTACACAAGTGTAGTTTGGACTGAAAGATCGTTAGACCTAGGACTATAAATGGTCGCTTTTAAGAACAAGCGGGCTAACCCAGATTTCAGGGGTTTCCAGAAATCTTGACCTACACCAAAAAAATGGGCATTGCCCTACCTATAGGAGAAGTTTGGTTTCTTCATTGGTGTGTATATTTGTTTGGTTATAGAGAAAACTCTCCTTGTCTTTTAAAGAAACTGAACACGGGGCAAAAACGTTAACTTCGATTTTCTCAAACAGCATTTTTCGGGATAGCCCCCTTGTGCTTAAAATTAAAAGCGACCAAATGCGACTTAGAGTACCGTACATTGTACATACAACGTATCTGAGCAGGAAGTCCACCGAGACAAGGAGAGTCAACGGTCGTCTTTTTGTTCATATCATGTGATTCTGTCTTTTCTCTTACAATGTTTAAATTGATGCAGTATGAGTATGCGCATAGCCAACAGATTTAAACTTTCCAATAGATAAGTACAAATGTACAGGCATCTAGATTTACTATTTTGAACAGCAGATAAGTAGGCTTAGATAGACTATATCATATCTCTAACTATCAAAAAAAAGAAAGAATGTCTGTGTCTGTAGACGTCTCTATCATATCTAACTATAGTACAGAACAATGTCTGTGTCTGTAGACGTCTCTATCATATCTAATTATTGTACAAAAGAATGTCTGTGTCTGTAGACGTCTCTATCATATATCTAACTATAGTACAGAACAATGTCTGT